TGCTAATACAACAATCCAAACGTACGTTAAATACCTAAGAAAGTTTTAAGTTTTATATACTAAAAACTGTTTTCAAAATTGTTTACACAACTAGGTTGCCACTTATAAGGTACTAGTTTTGGGGAATGTGCATTTTATGTTTATCCCAATATACTTCATATATATTTTGATTGCAAATATCATACATTATGTCCTTCAAATCTACTGATATTTACTAAAATAAATCCATATTTTTACAATAGAAAAGCGTATTTTTTCCTTATAAAAATAATACATCCCTCAGTATAAATTTGATTAGAAGTGCACAAATTAAAATAATTTACTACTATATAAATAAAATATTCAAATATAAATTCCCAATAATAACAACGACAAATCAATTGAGAGTTGTAAAATGACAGCAAAAAAGAAACAATGAAGCAAAACTAATAAAAAAAGATAAGAGAAGAGACCATAGAATTTTTCTCATTTTTAAAAAAGATTTTAAGTGTGTATAATATTGTGTCAAATGTCACTATTTATAGGATGGATTGAGGAACACAAAGAGTTTTCATGAATATGACCAGTATTTAAAATGCGGTGGCGTGAGACGGGGCTTTTACTTAGCATAAGGCGAGACGTAGAACTAAAGACATGAGGCGGAAACCCTCTGAATCTTTTAAGGTTTTAATTTTACAATTTAGTATAGTAATATAATAACACAAAATTATAAAAATACCTTAATAGTTTGAAATAATTACAAACATGATTAAGAAAACTAATAGAAAATAAAACTTCTAACATGATTATACAAGTATAACTGATATCAAATCTTAACAAGTTTACACAAATTTAGTTTATCATACTATAAAATTTTACCTTCCCCACCCCCACCCCCACCCCCCGCACAAGTATTATAGTAAAAACATTACTCCTCATGAATAAAAATAAAATTACTTTCAAATAGCTAAATAACATATGACCATTCTTCTTGCTCATTTCTTAATTGAACCCTTAAACTCAGTGAAACTAAGTATTTTAAATCCCTTTCAATGTGTGTGAACTTCGAAGGCTTGAAAAAAAAGGACATATCATCATCCGCATCACATTATAAATGACAGAGCACTTATTATTTTTTTATATAAAAAAAAATCTATTTATTGTTTCTTTTTCACTTCATTCCTTCTTCAAACCTCCAACTCTCTTCATATGTTTTTTACATTAGAGATACCACCAAAACCTTCCATTCCTACTGGTATCAATACATTCCTAAATAACAAACAATTATTGTTCGATTTTTTTTTAAATTTCTTTCATTCACAACTTTTAATCATATTTCCTTAATCAACATTAATATCTACAACTTTAACCACCATAAAATCTTTTCCCCCATTGATGTTAACAAACAACCATTAAAATACATCAATATACTCTAATATTTGTACACAATTTTACATAGCACATTTCACCTAATTTCACAAAGACATGTAACAATAACTTTTCATCTTTCAAGACTTTGAATCTTTATCACTTTATGAGTTATAAATTACCCCAAAAATAAAAGAAAAATCTAAATTTACAACAACAAAACAATTTTGATTGTAATATCAAGAGGAAAAATATGTAAAAAAGGAAAGAAAGAAAGAGATAGAAACAAGAAATTGGAAAGCGGAGAAAGAAGAGAAATGAGAGTTTGAAAGTAAAAAGAAATGGGGGTTGGTGAATAAAAAGAATAAAACAAATGGGGAGGGGAGGGGTGGGTAAAGAAGAAAGAACGGGAAAAAAATTAATTTGTATTTATTTTGGATATTTTTATTCTATTTTTAAAAAGAAAAAAAATTATTTTAATCTAAATTTGATCTTTCATTTATTGTGTGTGCGCGCGCGTGTGTGCGCGCGTGTGCGTGCGTGTGTGCGTGCGTGTGTGCGTGCGTGCGTGTGTACGCACGCGTGCGCGCGCGCGTGTGGGCGCGCGCGCGTGTGCGCGCGTGTGTGGTCTGAAAATTAATATGATGATTTACTATTTAATTTATTAAATCATTTATAAGATTTAACTAAGCTAACATGTCATCATAGATATGTAAACAGTATTTATACTACTAGTATATATATGTTAAACCAATTTCAAAATCACTAATAGAGCAAAATGCAAAAGGATTCATGTTTATAGAAAATAATTTAAAATGTAATATAGAAAAATCTCAACATTTAGGATGTGTTGGTATGAAGGAAAACATTTTCCTTTCAATTTTTTAATTTTTGGTTGGGTCAAATGTTTTCGAAAAAGTTTTCCAAATCAACTCATTTTCCTCAAATTTAATGAAAATGATTTTCTTTCAAATTTTCATTTTTTTCACCACTGCCCTCGATCCCCCACCCAGCCACCCCTACCACCCCATCTCCCAACAAATATAATATAAGTTTGGTTTTAAAAAAAAATTAAACATTAAAATTTTCATTTTTTTTCACCCCTACCCTCGACCACTCAACCCTACTATTACCTTACTAGCAGCCCCCCCCCCCCACCCCCACACACACACAAAAAATATTGATATTGTTTCTAAAGAAAAATTCAACTTCAAATTTTAATTTTTTTCTCACCCCTACCCTCGAAACCCCCCCCCCCCCACACCACCACCACCACGAAAAAATATCAAGTTTAATTTTTGAAAATATTTCAACTTTAAAATTTCATGTTTTAGCCACTACACTCGATCCCCCTACCCACACACACTACCACCCCCATCCCCCATAAAAATATTGAGTTTGTTTTTAAAAAATATTTTAAACTTCAATATTTCATTTTTTTCACCACTACCCTCGAATGTTTTTTAAATGAAATTCAACTTCAAATTTTAATTTTTTCACCCCTACCGTCGCCCACCCCCCACCCCCCCCCCCACCCCACACACACACACCACCATCAGCACGACCACACCATGAAAAAAAATATTAAGTTTGTTTTTAAAGAAAAATCAACTTCAAAAATTATTTTCTAATCTAGTAAAAATAGAAGATATTTCTTAAGAGCTTTTTTTATTCAAAAACCAAACACAAATATTTTTTTGAAAAAGTATTTTCTACTCACCAACCAAACATAAGAAAATAAGTCAAATATCTAGTTGTTTTCGTGTAAAACATTTTCCTTCATATCAAACACACCCTTAGATTAACTTTGTATCACTCTTATACTAAAATGTAACATACACAATGAGAAAAGCACAGCGTTGTTTGTTTTCGGTAAACAACAAACAAGAAATGATATCTGCCATAGCACCGCTGGAAACATCTGAGACATGCTTCTACATTTTATATGAATTTTATCCATTAAACATCCAAAACGGATGTAAAGATTCATCTTTGATCCATGCATTCCGAGTTCAGAAAGATGAAGAATAGCAAACAAGTTAAGAAAGCATACCAATGATATTGACATGACTATTAAATATTTGCAAATGAAAGGATGACTGTCGTTGATGGTTATTTAGGGTTTTACATTTTGAGAGGTTCAGAGTCAACCATTTTTGCTACTCCTTTTGATTCAAGTGTTCACTTATATCCTGTTGAAAATGATAATGATATCATAAATCAAAAGGTATATGATAGCATAATTGGAAGTTTGAGATATGTAACTGATTGCACTAGGTCTTATATTACATTGCAGTAGGAGTACTTGGCATGTTTACAATCAAGCTAGGTAATGAACATTGGCATGCTATAACGAGAGAGCGAGATATACTTGTTTCAACCTGATAAGATTTATTTCTTCATTTCATTTTCAATTGTAATCTTGCAATTTTATTATCTTTTAAGTTTTTTCAGTATCAATTTTAAGGAGATTCATGTTTTTGTTACATTTTGAAAAAAGAGAGCAAGATAACCGTGTCTCAGCCTAAAGATTTGTTTATACATTTTTTTTTCATTTTATTTCAAATGTAATTTATTGTATTTGTGGTACATTACACCAACAATTTGATCTAAGCTTAAAATGCTTAGGATGATATATAAAGGAAAAAATAGGTCTCTGGAGTACTTTTTCCACATATGGCAAGGAACTTTCAAAAAGGGGCAAAGTTTATCCATTGTTTTCTAGCTGAGCCAGAGGAGGCACAATAACATAAAAAAATAAGTGCTTATTGTAATCAAGTATGTATTTTGGACGAACAACAAGTTGATGCACTTCAAATTAATTCATGAAGGGTGACATCTCAAACTGGTGGAGGTGGTCCCAAACGAGCTTTGATTTACCTAGAAAATAAGTGTGTCACATAAGTATGAAGGACGTGACTTTCGTGTGCAGGACTTCTCACATACTATCATGGACTGCTCAAAATGTAAACACATTTGGATTTAATTCATCTCGTTGATTAAAAGCGATGTTATCATAAATACTAAATCAATGCTTGAATGACCCAATGATATCATAAGCAACAGCTATCAACCCTCTTATAGTGATAATTTCATAATTTCTGACATTTCTATATATTATATGGCATATATGTAAAGAATGAAATAGAAATTCGATTGAGCGAAAATGTTTATCCTTAAATCTTATATCCTAACAAAATTGATAACGTCTTTTCTAGACAAATCTCTAATTTCAAAGCATCCAAACTAATATCTATTCTCCTTGGGTACGTACGAAAGCAAATACAAATTCGATTGAACAATGTTATGTAATTATAAAAGGTTTCGGTTTATGTAAATAAATAAATGGACTCTTTACATGAGAGAAAGTTTTTAGTTTAGTAGAAAAATTGGATAAAAATTAATTTAAGTTGAAAGTTCAAATTTCAAGTGTGATATTTTTAAATTTGATTGTTAGAATTCATATCATGACCACCATAAATATGGTTATGGTGCTAAATGCAAATCAACCTATGGATACACATGTGAAGTACCCTCATATAGTTCAATATCCATGTTGCAATCGAAATGAGATATTTAAAAAATTAATGTAATTTAAAAGGGATCACAAGAAGTTGGTAATAGCAGTTAGGTTCACTATCGATAACAAAGTATATACACATGCGAAAATATTATTAAGTCATGGAGTCTTCTTAATGTCAAGGACGAGGGTGACAATGTTAGGTGTCGGGTAGCACAACACATCTGCTTCGAAACTAGGGGTTCTAACTTGGCCACCCAATGATGTACATTACACATAAAAAAAACTATAAAAAAATTTATGCAAGTAAGTTACTAATAAGGTAATTATAGGTACTAATAAAGAGTATCTATTCGTTTTAAGATCATCTTTCTTGCTTGGAGGCTATACAAAGGGAAACTAAATTTTAATGCAATCATTAAAATGCTTAATGATATTGTTGCACTGACCTATAATAGATTTCATTCAACATACATTTACACAAGGGAAGGTTGCAACTCATATGTGAAATTACATTGGTGCCTCCTTTGCCATTATTCATCGGCCTGGTCGTATCAGAAGAATTTTCAATAATTGGTGGAGTGTTAGGACCAAAGGCAGTGTTCATGATCAGATCATTCAAAATCCTCCCATATTTATTAGTTGAGATATCTGGAAATAGTGTACAAGTTTTGTCCTAGTTGATGTGTGGAGAAGGGAATCAACAGTTTCAGGATTGAAATAAATTCCTTTGTAATCACTAATATGGTACTAATAAAAGTGCTAGCAAAGTCAACTTCAGTCATTGTTATCGAGAAGCTAATATGGTTTTAGATTACTTTGTTAATATGTCCTCTACTAATGAAAATGAAACTTATTTCTCCTCTTGGCACTCTCTTCAATTTGACTAGATAAGTGGCAAGTACCTTCCCTGAGGAAAAAATATGAAAATGTAAAAGGAGGATTCATATTTATAAAAGATCTTTTATAATTTAATAAAACAAATCAATATTTATTCACGTTTAATATCACTCGTATACTAGAATCCAATAAATACAATGAGAATAATACAACATTTTACGTCTCCTATAATGACCAAACTAGAATAAAAACTACAAGTAGAACCTATATATGGAGACACTTGAGATATTAAATTTTTATCAATTCATGCAACATATATCCATAACAGATATTCAAAATTCTTCATCAATCTCTGTAGTCCGAGTTAGATTACTCATATACACATAAGCTTTGAATTTCTAAAAGCTTACGAATACCAAACAAGTTAATCAAGTACACCAGTGATTTTTAACATGACTAGTAAAAATTGTAGCACTGAAATGTATCACATGCTCTGGCCTCAATTAGCATGTAACTGATCAAATCTAATGGAACGAAAACTATTTTCTTGGGCATATGCATATATAGTGAAGTAAAAAAGTTTGTTGACATTGCAAGCTTCAATAAACATTAATAATTAGTAAAGTGAATGTGCATCTCAGTAAAAATATTAAATATCATACTATGTGAGCATTCTCCAATTCAAATTAATGATAAATATCATATTCTTTACACATTATACATTCAAATTAATAGAGTCATATCAGTCCAAGTCCTTTTCTCCACATCGGACATGATAATTTTCTTCATCATAATGACTATTGCAGTTTTGTTTCTCAATTTTGTGTCTCATTCAAATTTTTATGATTTTATCATAATATTTGTCAGAGACAAACAAGAATGGACCATTCACAAAAAAAAAGTGAAAGAAAGAAAATGATTGTCAAAAAGAGAATTAATTACGTGCATATACAAACACATTGAAAATAATGATAATTGTATATTCATCATGTAACTCATCAAAGTCATCGAAAGTAATGATAATTTTATATTCATAGTGTAACCCATTGACTACATTAAAAATAACGACAACTTTATTACTATTCATCATGTAACTCATCAAACACATTGAAAACAATGACAGTTTTATATTTATCATGTAACTCATCCGGCACATTGAAAATAACGATAATTTTGTATTATATTTATCATGTAATCCATCAAGCACATCGAAAATAACAACAATTTTATATTCATCATGTAATTCATCAACCATATTGAAAATAAAGACAATTTTATATGTATCATGTAACTTATCAAGCACATCAAAATTAACGATTATTGTATATTCATTTATTAGGTAACTTATGAATTACATTGAAAATAAATATAATTTGCATTCATCATGTAACTCAGTATACGCATTGAAAATAATGGAATTTCATGTCGATCATGTAAATCATCACCAAATTTTATATTCATCATGTAACTCATCAAGTACATTGAAAATAACGATAATTTTATATTCATCGTGTAATAATCAAGCACATTGAAGCTAACAATAATTATGTTTCCATTATGTAACTTATTAAGCACATTAAAAACGACAATTTTATGTTCATCATAAAATTCAGCAACCACATAAAAAAATAACGATATTTTTTTTTATAGAAAATCAGACTCCATATAATTTCTGTCAATATTTTAAATTTTCTAATCCAAATATATAATAAACACCAATCTACGACAAAAGAACATTGACTTCTATAATGAAATATTTCTACAAAAATACATATCAAATAATATAGTAGAAACAATTTTCTCAGTAGAACTTTTGGTCATTATAGTGAAATGTTGATATAGAAGAGGCAGAACAAGACCGAACATTCAGCATTATTACTTGTTGTATCTTCAGACAGTTGCACCAAGTCCTTGGATCCAGAAATAGAAGCACTAGAACCTCGAAAGAATAGCTTGGTCTCCTAAATCTCTTATTGGTGTATTTACAACTAGCTAAAACGATCTGGAAAACTAGAAAAGTTTTTGTGCAATTTATGCACATCTTCTCTTCATTATCATCGTCTTCCACTCGCTTGTGGAATCCAATCATCCTCATTGTAGCCATGTATCCCTTGGGAAATTATAAGATTTCCCTAGTGATCACAAAGGGCCAAAATTTGCAAATAGGACTGAAATTCAGATAATCTTCAATCAGATCTATGTGTCTAACTAGTAGAACCAATAGATCATGTTGAAGCTCCGATCAATCAGCCCTTTTTTTCAAAATGAAGCCCTAGCTAACAAAAGGATTAAATTGAATCTTAATTTTGATACATACCTGAATTGGTAATGAGCTACTTCAATAGTATCAAGGTAACAATGGCCTGAGCGAATCTACGAGCCAGTAATGAAACACCTTGGTAGATCCCTAAAAAGCTAGAGAAAAAGGGTCCTACTTGTTTTTCAAATAAATCAAGAGATTCATTAACAAACTGATTTATTTGGGATGAGAGATTTTCCTTTTCTTCCATGGTAGATGTGTCAAACGGCACAAATGAATGAGAAAGATGAATGAGGTAAATGAAAGGCTCCTTAGGGTTTTATAATTTAAAAAATTACTAGGATGATCCCTTTTCAAGATTTTTAGTCAAATTTCACCTGTATATAATGATATGTTCATTTTAATCTTTTAAATATAATTATATGCATATTTACTCCCCCATCTTTGTTAAACAAATATAAATTACCTAAAACCAATAATGACGACGGAAAACAAACGACAAAACCAACCAACTCAGCCGTTTGGATCCAAAATTGGAAATTAAAGATGCTAAGATATTTTTGAAGGTCAAGTAGATTAATGAGACATTTTTAGCTTAAAACTCTACCTTTTGACATAGCAATCAAAGTTTAGTCACAGAAATATATAATTACAAAATAGTCAATCCTATTGTAAAACAGAAAATGAATTTGTCGCTAACACTTAAATCTACGGATGGATTAAGTTATTAAAATAGATAGATAGAGTATATTACATGTGTTTTGTTGTGTAGGACATGACTTCGATAAAAAGAACAGTTTTGGTGCTAAAACAAATATTTTGATGTCTGAGAAGAAATGTAAGAAATTTAATCAACATATGAGTTTAGAGGTTGAGGACCAAGTATGTATTGCAAAATTGATGCTTAGAAAAATAAATTGGAGCCTATAGCGACAGGAAAAAAGGAGGTAGTATTTTGAATCCATTTCCTATCTTAGCTATTAAGAGTAACTTGTTCCGAAAATACATATAATTAGTATAAACATCGCATGTATTATTTTGAGGGGACTTTGGATACTTAGAAGATTAAGAGGGCAACTAAAAGATGAGGACACTAGAGATTCTTTACTTTCTATCATCAAGAATCATATATATATATATATATATATATATATATATATATATATATATTAATGAGGAGCTAAGCCCACTGATGTGGCATGCCTCGTTACTCAGGAAATGAATTTATTTATTTTGTAGATTTTTTTTTCTTAGCATTTTTTCTTCGTTTTTACTGATAAAGAATTTTTTTCAAAATTAAATACACAAGATAAATGATATACCGTTTTAAAATGTTTGCTAAAATGTTGCATACTAAAAGTAAAACTCTAATTAATTTCTTGCCTTTTAATTAGAAATTTATTACTATTTCAATACAAGTCCATAAAAACCACCACTGAAGTCTGAAAGCATCATTTTGCTATTCCTCTCCTTCTTTTAGTCACTTCCCTTCCTTATTTAAATATACATATATTTTTTTTCTTCTGTAACTCCTTTTACATGTTTTTTAATAATTAATTCATTCTTCGTTTATTTACATCTTTATTTGAAAAGATTTTATAAAATTATGCTAACAGAAATTTTATTCTTTTTCAGGTTTTATAGGTAATGATATATTATTTTAAATTTGAACAATTAAAAAAGCAAATGACCCTATTGAAAAAGGTAAGATGGAGATGTTCCATATTTAAATTGCATAAGTATGTGTTTTTAATTACGTAAAAATATATTCTCTAAATATGTATTCAGAATATTCTTGATGAAGTGAATTCATAATTCATTGTAAAGGTATGATTCTTTGTATTTTCTTGTATAATTTGTGACATTTCTGTATAGCATTATTTGTATTCATATTTATTCTTTTACTTAAATTTTATAATTATTTTATAAATTATGCTAACAAAATTTTTTGTTCTTTTTTAGGTTTTATAGGTAAAGATTTATGATTTTGAATTTTGACGTTTAACAAACAGTTGATACTATAGAAAAAGGTAAAATGAAGATGTTCCATATTTAAATTGCATAAATATATGTATTTAATCACACAAAAAATATATTTTATAAATATGTATCCGAAATATTTTCCATGATGTGAATCCATAATTCATTGTAAAGATATGATTTATTTGTCTTTTCTTGTATAATGTGTGACATTTCTGTATAATATTTATTCGTATTTATATTTTTTATTGATTTTAACTAATTATTTTACTGTAAAAATGAAATATAAAATTTATTACAAACCTATTATAATAATAAAGATATGTATAGAAATGGTGACATGATCCTCCCTAGGGTTTCAATCCATTTTATCGTCCTTTTTTGGGCCTTTTTTTTTCTAATTTTATCATACAAAAAAAATCACCTAAATTTATTACTCGCTTTCCTATAATATTTTTCAAATTCTCATTAGTTATAACAAACTATTTCATTTGTTTTAAAAAGAATTCAGACAAACCATTCACGATAATTAAATTTTATGATTTTTATTTGTTTTTTAGTTTTTTCCATTCTTTGCTCCCTTTTTGTTAATTTTGTTTTTTGCTTATTAAAAACAAAAAATTATATCTTTATATGATATAAATGTATTTCTTCTATCTACTTTATTTGTGTTATTTCCTTTTATTTTGATTTTTATGTTTTACTTTCATAACGTAAATCTATAAAACTTTGATTTTTTAATAATATCATTAATTTCATGATTTTTAAGTTTTGATATTCATAATTTAACTATTAAATTTTAAAATTTAAGATATATTATGATATTTCTC